ATATACATAGACGAATAACGAAACCGGATCGGTTTTTTTTCTTCTTATTGGTTCGGTTTACAAATCAGTTTCGGTTTGAATTGGACCGGTTATTAAATTGACAATAGAGATCATACATTTATGCAATTGTGCAATTTCTCATTTGAACCGTTTTTTTAAGGTACGAGCGGGCTATTGTTTTCACGGTCCAAGGCGTTTTCTTCAACGTATATTTCTTGGCTTATATAATTTCTCCAAAACTTGCTCATCGCATAACCGGATACTTAGAAGAAGAAGCTGTGAATTCTTACAACGAATTTCTTGAAGACATTGACGCCGGAAAATTCAAAAATTCGCCTGCTCCGGCCATCGCAATCGATTACTGGCAATTGCCTAAAGACGCGACGCTAAGGGATGTAGTTTTTGTCATCCGAGCTGATGAAGCTCACCACCGAGATATTAACCATTATGCTTCGGTAAGTAAGAGGTTGTTTATTTTCGTAGAATGATTTTTACATTAGGGGCAAGTGTGTGACATTTGTTAAATAGTGGGGTTACTGTGTGCAGGATATACAATTTCAAGGACGCGAACTCAAGGAAGCTCCGGCTCCGATTGGATATCACTAAAGATCAGGTGACAAAACTTAATAGAAAAATTTACCTAGAATAAGCTACTTTTTTTAAAAAATAGCTAGAATAACCTTACCATTTTTTTTATTGCTGAAATAACCTATTCTGGATTTTTTTTCTTTCATAATACCAAAATTGTCCTTGGCAGACTCTGCCGAGGTATTGGCAGACTCTGCCGAACATTGGTAGACTCTGCCAATGTTCGGCAGGGTATGCCAATATTTTGGCAGAGTCTGCGTATTGGCAAAGTCTGCCAATACATCGGTAGAGTCTACCAATGTTTCCACAGAGTCTGCAAATGATTCGGCAGAGTCTGCCAATACCTCGGCAGAGTCTGCCAATACCTCGGCGGAGTCTGCCAATGTTTCGGTAAAGTCTGCCAATGTTTCGGCAGAATCTGCCAATGTTTCGGCAGAGTTTGCCAATGTTCGGCAGAGTTTGCCAATGTTTTGGTAGAGTCTACGTATTTTTAGATATTGGCAGAGTCTGCCAATACATCGGTAGAGTCTGCCAATGTTTCGGCAGAGTYTGCYAATACCTCGGCAGARTCTGCGAAGGASAATTTTGRTATTATRAAARRAAAAAAAATCTAGAATAGGTTATTTCAGCAATAAAAAAATTAGTAAGATTATTCTAACTATTTTTTTAAAAAGTAGGTTATTCTAGCTAATTTCCCA